GTTGTTCCCTGGATCAAGTATTTCCTGTTTCAACAGAGGTGGATCTAAAGAGGTTCAGGTGAGGTTAAATCAACAGGGTACTGAGCAGCAAACGCACTGTTGATGTTTTGAAACAGGGAACTTTGATTGTATTTGGAGGATAAGAGGAATGATAAATTGCAAGTGAAACGAAATTATTTTTATCTCAGATAATGTCAAATTCACAGGATGCTCTCTTTTTTGAAATATTACAAAACCCACACACCAGCAGACAGAATACAAAAATAAAATAAAATAATTTTAACCCAGGTGGTCCTCAGATTTACGTGTTGTTTTTTTTTATTGCATTATTGCCAAGGACTTAATTGTTAATTAACATGCAAAATTAGTCAAATTCAACCTTAAAGGCTAAATAAATAAACCCCTTTCAGATTCAAAAGGCAATTAAAATGAGGAAAATGCAAATAAACAGAAGGCAAGTGTTAGTTATGCCTGATCAAATCACTTCACACACCAAGTCTAACATTTCAGAATTGTGTGTGTTTTATATGTTATGCCTTGTTGGAGGCTGAATGTAGGCAAGTTGAACTGAATTGTGCTAAAGATGTCTATGGCAAGGTGAGGTATGAAATGGCAGAAGAAAGATTTCAAGTAAAAAATGTTCCTGCCTTTATAGAGACAGGAGAGGCTGAAGATAAGGCAGGCTTATATTTGATCAACTATTATACTTGTTTTAAAGACAACAAAAGAAAATGTTGACCGTTCTAATTGAATTTGACACATAAAACAACAAATGCTGCAGAAAAACGAAATTCAATGACCCTGGGTAAGAATGCTTGATTATTAATTAATCATTTAAATTATAGTGTGGACTGTACAAATCAAATGCACACAAACATTTACGAGAAAAAGGTGGACAAACATTCACAATCGAAATCCTAGTCACCACAGGAAGTTTCTGTGGATTTACAAAATATTTTAGCTCCGAACTCAATATATTTATATTGACACTTTGCTGCATAGACTTTCCTTCCTTAGCTGTACTAATAAAGGCAGAATTATCCCCAAAAATTGATATTACAATGAATAAAAAACGTGCATATCATTCATTCAATAAACTCATACACTGCACAAAGAAAAAAACAACACATTTCAAGATATAACCAGGACCTCAACTGAGAATGGTGAACATATATTTTTCTTATAGTCTTAAATAGCCTATTATTACCTTCGTATTATTAGAATATGATGATTATCATAATACCCATATTGAGAAAAGCACATTCAGATTTAAATTCATGTACAGCATCTTGTTTACTTACTATCAATAAACAGGAATGAGAAGGTTACTGGCGGAAAACTCTTAGCTGATGGCGTAGTTTTCTTTGGTGTATGTCCATGAAGAATATGCCTTTAGGTGCCTTACAATACTTTAGGTATTAATATGCAATAGGTGAGCATTTGATGGTTAATAAGTGTATATATTTCTACATTTTAACCAAAATGTGAAGGAAGGTTTTAGGTTGTTTTTTTCATAGCGTTATCCCTTTATTTTTTAGTAACTTGTTCTTTATGAAGACTTCAAAGGATTTCAGTGACGGACACCTCTGGTACTCTGTGATCAATCGACCACCGAGCAGCAACTTCACCTGTGTGCAGAGAGTTTCCTGCTGTTTCACCCTGCTGCTCTGCACCATGCTTACCAGCGTCATGTTTTATGGCATCCCAACAGATCCCTCTGAGCAGACCATGGATATGGGTACAACACATTTTTAATAAAGTCAAGTCAGAGCTTTGAAGACTTTTTCCTGACCTGGTATTTTAATGTACTCCTGTGTACATAAGTAGCCAAATAAACTGCATTTTTAAAACAAAATATATCTTTATATATTTGTGGATGAAAACAAATGTTTGAAAATATATGCGAATTTCAAGTACATGTCTTTATCTCTGACTCTCGCTCTCATTCTCCTCAGGTCTCTTTGAGTTTACATGGCAACAGTTCATGATCGGAGTACAAAGCTCCCTCATTATGTTTCCTGTTAACATCCTTATTGTAAGCATTTTCCGAAACACACGTCCCAGAGAAACGTCTTGTTGCAAGTGCAAAACAGAAGAACCAGATGCCGAGCAGACGTTTGTCTCTCCAAGTAACACCAACATGAGTGTCAATGTCACTTTGTACACTGTCATTATGGTAGGTGCTTCATGTGTTTCATGTGATAAGTATAGCTATTCAAAATATTGACCCTTAAACATGAACATTTATGACAAAAGCGTGATTGAGTCAATAATTTGTCTCAAATTCATGTGAATTACGTCCATATATTGTATTGTATGTCATTTAATACATAGAAAACACCTTTGTATCTCAATATTTTCTTCCTTAGGATATAAAAAGGATTGCCCAATCTCTATCAAAGACCATGAAAAGCAACATCCCATGCACTGAGTCCGAGTTTGGTCCTGCACAACAAGATGATATCAATGCTGTCCTTTCTACAGTGGAGCACTTCATCACAATGAATAACAAAGCCAGTGACACCGCCCAGCCTGAGCTAGGTAAGTACAGTACATGATGTGGATGGCTGATTCTGCAACATTGTATGTAATACTATCTTGATTTTGGACAGATATAGTACAGTGTTTTACAGAGAGCTTATGGGGTTGTTTTGTATACACATAAATACATGCACATGCATTTCATGATGCATAAGTCACTGTGCAGACTTTTGAGCTGTCATTTGTAACATTTGAGGGAAGACGAAAAGTGATAATAAAATCAGTAGGACAATTAAGTGGTCCAAAAACTTTAGTAACCCAAACATAAGTACATATATTTTTGGTTTCAAATTAAGCACAGGCTATGCCATTGTGTTTTTCAAAACCAACACAAAGTGGTCTAAATTCATTTCCAGGGCTGGAGATTGTTCCCTAATCAACAAATACAGCTTGGTAAAGTTAAATTGTTTTCAGACAGAGCCCAACATTCAGTTTTCCCGTCATGAAATGTTGATCTAACGCCACAATTAAACGCAAAAATGCTGCAAAGCAAATGGAAAAGGGTTTAATTAACATGACATTTGGGCATGTATCATAGGGTAAGGGTTAGGATTGAAGTTAGGGTTACACGTTACACTAACCCTCGATGAATCAGCTTGGACATTGATCAGAAAAAGTGGAGAAAGAGAAAAAAAGAAAAACACTCAAGCTCACTCCAAATGAAGGATCGGTGTATCCGTTGATGGTGAGCTTACAGCTAACATCCAGTTGCCAAGGGCGCCGGAAGCGGGGGGGCCAGGGGGCCATTGGCCCCCCCACTTTACGGCCCTGCCCCACATTTTCGCAGCAGCGGATGCCGCGGAACACATCCCATTTCAATAATTTCCCTCTACTCTAAAGTCGCATCTAAAAAGAACGCCATCTGATCTGTGTATATTTTGTTATTTTTGATTGTTATATTCAATCTCATTAGCTACAGGCATTTTTGAAGCTTGTAAAGGGAAGAACACAGCTCGCCTCTCACTCACCACTCTGCTCTTCCACAGCGCCGCTTCCCCTCCCTCCGCTGACATTATGAATGTAAGGCATAGTAATCATAGATAACACCGCAGGGTCCGTTACAGTTTGTTTTCATCTGATTTCAAATAAACAAAGTCTTGGCTTTCAGAATATTAAACTTGTTTCGGCAAATTCAGATGATAAATACAGCTTTGAAGCTTTTAACGGCATAATTACAAGCGGAGAACGGAGTAACTTGACGTCACAGCAAGCATAACAACAGCCGGTGTTTCTCCTGAGAGTTTTCCCCGGGAAACACACACATACGGGTTTTTGTGAACTAAAGGGACACTTTGACCCAAACACGTTTTTTCCTTCATTAGAAGGACACCCTTTTCCACTAGCTTTACAAAGATGTTTTGAATATCAAAAAATCTAGTTTGAGCCATACAACACAAATCCCACTTCAAATGTCCAATACACATAGCACAACTCAAAATACAACAACCTGACACCATGCTTAATTATGAGGACAGCAGATAATGAGCTGCATAAGCCCCGCCCATGACAACATTGTTATTTGTGAGGACAGTAGCTATACAACACACAAACATGTCACTGAAGTGTATTAAAGGGACAAACATGATTAAATGGAACATAACTTTACACAGACAAGTGTTGGATTGTGCATTACAAGAACAAACCTTTTATAAACGGACAAAATGTATACAGCATAGGAATACCTGATTTTTGATGTAATATTTTAATAGACAATATAGTGCACCATAGATATATAGCTTAAAAGTATGTTAATGTGTTTGGTTATTGCTTGCCTCCTGTTTGCAATCTGTTGTTTTCATGCAAATGTAGAACCACATTCTAATACTCTCCAGAGGGGTACACTACAAGCAGGTCTTCCGAGACGAATTAAATCCATTTGCAAGTAAATGCTTATATTTGCAGCACTGCTAATTGCAATTACATCATCGATATGAAAAGAACCGATAACCATTTTATAGCAAAGTGACCGAACTGGTTTATCACTAATACAAAATGCTATTTGCCCTACAAGACTGCTCATCTACTGGAGCATTACCTTTCAAAAGCTGATACAAAAGGACACATTGCACCTTGCACAGTGAACAATGAGCCAAGTTTAATGGTTATTTTCACATAACATTTTCTCACATGAAAATTGAGCTAAGACTAAATCTTTATTATTTTAAACATATAACTCTCCTTCCAGCATTACCTTGGTACGACAGAGGATTAGGGCCACACAAAAGAAAAGATAGAAGAATAAAGTCATAATTACGAGATTAAAGTCGCTATGTTCGGAGAATAAAGATGAAATTATCCCGGGGGCTGAGGGGTCGTTGCAGCAGATCTTCAAGAAAGTTATATTGACAGATTGGAACTGGAACGGATCAATAACTCATAAACAAACGTTGCTAAAACACAAACTAACTACCGTAATAAGGTAAACAACTATCCACAATCCAATTTAATCAAAACAACCTCACACCCGCCGCCCTCTGAGCTGGACACATAACACAGGTGTCTGTCTGCAGCCGGAGGAGAGAGGAGGGGTCATGGACCATCTACAAAGTGCAACACTGAAAAAAATACTGCAAATAAACTACTAACACCACCTATTTTTGCAAAGTTGCATGTGTAGTTTAAGCAACAGTATATTATTGTGTGATTTAAAATGTGATGTTTGTAGCTTTATAACAGAGGAGTTATTGAGTATATCTTTATTCAGTGTTGCACTTCGTAGACGGTCCCTGACTCCTCCTCTCTCCTCCAGCTGCAGACAGACACCTGTGTGATGTGTCCAGCTCAGAGGGCGGCGGGTGTGAAGTTGTTTTGATGAAATTGGATTGTGGATAGTTGTTTACATTCTTACGGTAGTTAGTTTCTGTTTTAGCAACGTTTTGTTTATGAGTGTTTGATCCGTGAAGTTCCTATCCTTCAATATAACTATCTGCTGCAACGACCCCTCAGCCCCCGGAATGATTTCATCTTTATTCTCCTAACATAACAGCTTTAATCTCATAATTATCCTTATAATAAAACATTGCTCCTACATGTAACATAATAATGAAGTTGAACTGTGAACTGTCCTCATTGCATGTTCGATTCAATTTCATCATCATTTGTGTAGCAGTGCTTTTTTCTTCTGAGTCGTGCCTTGGCTCCTGACGAAGTTTCTAATATTTTTGCAAAGAGCGACCAGCCAGAATAGGATGCTCTGCAGCTTTGCACTGTCTGCAGTCTATCATCGTGGCCACTTTCCCCTTGGTGTGCATTAAAGTGTCTCAAAACTGCTGCCACCTCTTTTGGAGACCACTTCTGTTTTTGCATCCTCCTGGGATTCCTCTCCACAGCATTTTCAAGAGACTCTACAAACAGAAAAAGAGGACATCTTGTGGATGAAGAAGGACCAAGTTTAATCACTAGACATCCAGAGTAGTATACAAATGCTTTACTGGCTCTTATTCTGAGTTAACTACACAATCAGGTAGAAAGACACTGATTATAGCATTTAATATTTAAAGAGTATGATCATTCAGTTTAACATTAAGAAGAAAAACAGCATTGACACACAGTCCTCTTAGTGTCTAAAGCAGTCCAGTAGAGTGATGCACAGGACCTGTGTATCGAACCTCAGCATTCAAATCCAGTCTTCATGGTTTATAACTTGAAATAAACATGTAACTATTACCAACATTAGCCGTGTTCACACCAAGTACTTTGCCGTACATAGTGCCGGCACTTAGTGCCCCGGCACTTAGTACCCCAGGGCACTTAGTACAGATCGCGTTCACACCGGAATATTTTCCCTGAGGGAAGATTACGCAAATGAGCCGCTGACGTCACTTCGTCTTCTTCTGCCTTGGGTTTACTGGCAGGCCGCAAACAGCCTCACGGTGTATACTGCCACCCGAAGTCCCCGGCCGGAAGTCCCTGGAGTTGGGGAAGGCTTCAGTAGAAGCTGCTGGGACTCCCAGCAGCTTCTACTGAAGCGTTCCGAGTAAATCGCCAGAACACCGACAACTCCTCATCTCCACCGCTCCCATGTTTTATTTTGTGTTTCCATAAATGAATCTCTCTGCATTTGTGCGCTGGGCGAATGCTAATGCTGATAATGCTAATGCAAGGATAATAAAATGGTGGCTCTACAAAACATTTCAGAGTTTTACGGGGCGGGGTTTGCAATTCGCCCAGCCAATCAGAACTGGGGCACTTTTTTCCCCCAGGAAAGTACCATCTCTCAGCAGGCACTAAAAATGGGGGTAAAAGTTCCCGGCTTGAAGTACTCTTTTTGGTGTGAACGCGACATAAGCAGTAGTAACGGAACTAAATGTGAAAAGTACGGGGAAAAGTAGTCCGGTGTGAACGCAGCTATTGAGTTGTGGTTAACTCACCTGTTGAATGTCATCATAGTGGGACTCAGATGTCATGGCAGCATCTTCATGCAGAGTCTCTGCCTCAGTGGAAATCTTGTGGATGAAGAAGGACCAAGTGTAATCACTAGACATCCAGAGTAGTATACAAATGCTTTACTGGCTCTTGTTCTGAGTTAACAACACAATCAGGTATAAAGACACTGATTATAGTGTTTAATATCTAAAGAGTATGAGTATGATCATTCAGCTCAACATCCGGTTTCAGGCTCAACATCCGGTTTCACTATGAGTGGTCGCATTTTCGAGAGCTCCCGCTTTGGCGGTTATTCCTCACGATTTTTTACATATTTCATCCTCCTGACAATATGGATTATGGACTCCTACCTCAACTCACCAATGAGGCAACATCACTTAGAGAAGGAGAGTAATGAAAGCGGGGATACAATGAACCACAATGACTTTTACCTTCTCAACGGCTGGGAAAGGAAACACCTCGCTTTTGGAAGTGCTAGCATTCATGCATTATTAACTGCAAACCCGACGCGAAAGTACTTACCCCCGTCAGGCAAACTAGACCGAAGAAGTATGATCGTCTTGGTCTTATTGTTAGCGGGAGACATCCATCTGAATCCGGGCCCGGTGCAGACA